GGCGAAGAAATTATAGTTATAACTTTATAAGTATATGAACGATCTTAAATGTGTACCTTCATAAATAAAAGGGATTCTAAACATAACAACCCATTTCTGAAAAACATTTTATAGCTAGGTATAAAATTGCTTACGGCTTAATTTGAAATTGTTATTAAAACGTTATTATGTACTTAATTTGTTCCAATAAAAATAATAAGTTTGAAGCTATAAGAAAGTATCCTATAATAAGTTCAATAATCTTTAATAGAATACTGATTTTATTAATATCGAAGATGATCCCAGCCATTAATTTAACACAGATTCAATTTAAACTTGTATTACTCCCATCAGGCCAATAATATTATAAAGGTAATTTTTTTATTATTTTTCAGTTTTTTTGATGATTTTTATGCATCCCCAGACGGCGTCACCCGCGTAAAGTAAAATCGCAATTGTAAACATAACGGCGATGTGTGACCGGAATACATTTGCTGTGTTTTGATCCTTTTTGGAAAAACAAATACAATAACAACTTGGATGTTTGTTTATAATTTGCAGATCTATAAGTTGGCTTGTTGACTTTGGCTTGTATTTTATTTTTCTCAGTCGTGATTGAAAGTATAAGCGGATTACCAATCTGTGGTACTTGAACGTGAACAAATTATATGTTACTTTTTATTCATACATTTTCTATTGTATAGATGTAGGTACAGATATATTTTGCCAAGTTTTTGAAATACTTAATCTGAAATTGATTTTTTTTTGTATTTATACTTAATACTTATCAATAATAATCCTTAATAACACATTATAGAGTTCTACAGTAATAATCGTTCCTGAACATGTGATGTCTATAGTAAAATATTTTTAATCTATTTTTGTTTTATGTTTAAAAATTACCGATTATTTATTGTAAACGCGTATGCACGATTCCTAACACCAATATTATCTCAAATAACGATTAAGTTATAGAGTGATAGAGTGATTCATTGAACTTTAAATTGTGTATAAACTCTATCACTCTGTATTTGAAATACGAATTTACAATCGAATCGTAGTTCGATCTTATACCGAAAAACTTGCTGCAGGCTCTGTCTTTATAATGGTTTACCCCCAAAATAGGTTATAATAAATTCTCGTAAAATAACTAACCCGAAACCTACTCAGAATTCTGAAATGAAAAACTAAATGAAATAAAACAAGGATATTCAACGAATTTAAACGAAACAATAGCAGTCCACTATCGTCTCAAAGTTTTCAATAGTGAACCACAAAAGCCACAATCGTGATTAGAAACCTTAACGCCCCGAAAAACAACGCGTCGGACAGGTATAAGAGATGCTTAGGATTGAAAAGTAACAAGTACACAATTGTCAAGCAATTTACTGGAAGTACTTAGCTTACAGTCCGATTCTAGTAAATCAGTTTCAGCACAGTCGGGTGCTGAAACGACTACTGCTGTTTATTTATTTGTTTGTTTTTTTTTCCGTTCCACGGAAAGTTTTATTACTAGAAATAAAAATAATGAAACTTCAAGTCACGTAGCATTTTTTTTCTAATTATGTTCTTTCTGTAAATTTGCCAAACATATAAAATAATAAAATTGTAGTCATTTTATGCCTCGAGCATAAATTCCCCCATACACAAGCTCGACATAAAACTACAATCGCCTTCCCTAACCTTAATAACTCGAAGAAGCGGGAAAAATCTAAAACTAGGTTCCTTTTGATATTATCTGATTGCAACCCGATCCCATCGCCAACGAGGTAATAAATTCTTAATGTTTGCATCGACTACAGAATGAAAAATATTTAAGATTTTTTTTGCACACACTATCTAAAAGTTCGTCGTTAAAATAATCAAGAAGGTTTTGACACTTTAATGATATTTTTATGACCATTCTTTATTAAAGTGAAAAAATTAAGGTTTATACCATAGACAATTAATAATTTTGTAAGCAATAAAACATAAAATAAAATTGATATGTATCTGTTGAACTGCAATGATAGCACGCTTATGCCTTAACAGTACTAGTGTGGTACGTTATTTAATTGCACTAGAAAAATTTTCAGACCAAAATAATATAACTGGTCTAGCCTTATCATTTTTTTTATTAATATTTGCTATTAATTGTGTATTTTGAATACGTATAACTCATTATTAAATTATTGAGTAATTATTTTCTTATCATAAGCTCTCGTTATAATTTCAAAGTTTATTAATAAGAGAAATTCACGAGCGCCATAAGCAAACTGCTTTGAAGTATTCAAGAACGTAATTGGCTACGTCATTTAAGGCTGGAAACTTTAAATGCGTTTAATAAATCCACTAACCCAAGTCCAATACATAATACTTATAGCACAGTTGTTAATGACACTCCGAAATATTAAATATAAACGTTCTTTTCGACATGAATATGTAAATCATTTCATATTTGTAGTTCATATTTTATACATGTTCATTATTTGCAATCTTATATATGTAGATACTTTTGGCACCTATATACACATTTAAATATTTTTGTTTTCTTCTTAACTATTATGGTATAACATGCATACCCTAGTTGAGTACGTGATTAATAAATTATTTATCCACGTGAACTTATATTACTATACGTATCATTATATTTATACTATAATTATGTTAATTCCTCTAACTTTTGTATTTACTTACTAAACATTTTTTTAGTTATTTTTCTGAATAAATACAAAATTTTAGAAGTTTGTGGCGTTATCGTGGGAGGGAGAATTTGAAACAAAATTAAAATTATAAATTTGAGTGCCTGTTATTTATATTGTATAAAATGTTTTTTTAAATATCTATTAATTTATCTACCCTTTACCACATCCCAACGAAAATTAGTCCTAACTTCAGCCCTGACATGTTTATCCCTTATTCCTTCCATAACCTAGCTCTAATTCTCTAATTAAACTACTGAGCTACAGTGACCAAATAACCACATTATAATACATTTCAAATCTATATTAATTTTTAGGAAATTGGCTAGATTACTAAAAGTTGAATGTATAGAACATATTACTATAAAATGGAACTTTCAAGTTTCAATGCATAGTGCATACTAATAAAATAATTTTTTCTGGATATCGTAATACCGTATTCTAATATTATTTAAAATTTATAAGAGATAAAGTACTTTGTACATAATATTATAAATCAACATAATGCATCATAATATTATGAGTACTGTTATAATAATATTTCATACATTGCTTTTTTTTTCATAACAATGAAAACTATATACCTATTTGTGTATATTGTATGTTCATATTATCTTCACCGCAGTACACAATAATTTACGGTGCTTTTAGAATAAACCATTTTGTGAATGATATGATTTCAGGAAATAATGTATATGATCAAACTATAACTGTCAGCATAAAATACTGAATAAAGTTTTGATAAGATGAAAGGTTTTACCAAAACATTTTTTGGACTCGTGGTTAAAATTTATAACATCGAATGAAATAACAAAAGTTGTGTTTCACTTGTATAGAAATGCCTTCACACCCTTGGAATAATAAAACTAATTTACACAAATAATACTGAACGTGTCTGTTTCAGTGATATAGAAACAAGACAAATATCATCCACTCAGCTAAAATATTTTTGATTTTAATACTATCTATACTATAATTCACCTTATAATAATAAAACTTAAAAGTAAATAATGATTCATAATACGAGAAATATAAAAACGACGATTATATCATAGAAATTCAAGTTTTTCGAATGAAAAAGAAAAAATTATTATTGTTTTTATTATAGTACCTATACAATATTGTATAAAATGAGTTTATTTTGTATCATTGTGTAAGTATAATTTAGCTTATTGTTTATATTATATATTATTCAGAATTGGTTTTAATGTATTGTTCTGTACGATGATTCTTTTAGTTTGCGCACGTAATAGTTATTATTATAATTTTAATTGTATATAATAAAATATATAATATAATATATAATAATAATATATAAATATATAATACATAATATTTATTTTTATTTTATTTATAATTTTTTTTTTATGTTAACGTATTTCAGGTTACATAATTATAATTATATTTTGTTAAAATATTTGTGATCGTATCTTGTTAATCTTGCTGTCTAGACGTGTAATAAACTAATAACACCTTACTATAAAAATTTACTTTCTTTTGTCAATTATAATTGTGTTTAAAAATGATTATACTATTATACTTCAAAAGAAACACTTTTTCAAAAATGAGTTGTGACTTTGTAAATTTTTTTTATAAATTTTTGTTTACATCCAAAATAGAATTACTGTAATTATATTTAAAAGATACCAAATATCTAATGTCCTTATACTATTTTTATCAAATACCTAATCAGCTTTAATTGCTGTTCACTTTGTAATGTGAACATATATAATAATATCATGCATTATCATTTATGCATTAATAAATAGTGTCAATTATTTCTAAAAATAAGTGTATAAAGTACATAAATAATTCAAAGTATTTGAATTTTAAATTACCATTTTTTCTTATTTATTTAAGTTATTTAAGTTATAGCAAGTAACAATACTTTAATTTGATCATTGTTTCGCATAATACTGTACAAAATGAGTGTACTTTTAAACAACCATATTTTAAAATTAAAACTACTTAGAAAGTATTACGTCGCCTTTAAGTCTTCGGGTCGCGCGTATAATTTGTTTAAGTTTGAATCGCGATTATTAAGTGTAGTAGTCGAATTCGGTTAAAACCTTAATTAAATCTCTGTGCGTACCAAATTTGAAATTCGTATGCTAATTTTATGAGCCATCATACGGTGCACATTTTACTGTAAAATATCAAATCAATAACGTTTTGATGTGACGCGTTTAATACATTTTGTTTTCATCACCACATATTAATATTTTATCGATCGAACGCTTTTCGTCAACAACGGCTATCGTCGTAATATAACAATAACAATAATAATAATAGTAATAATAACAACAGTAATGACATAATTATAATATATAATAACGATACCTGATATTCCGTCGTACGTCCACCACTCGTCCCAACTGGCTTGTACGCCTGTAACAATATAATAGTACACGAAATCAATAAATTACCGACTAGGTACTATACCGTGGTACGCAAGAGGTGCGTATGCTAATAATGATAGGTATAATATTTACATCGGTTTAACAATAATTATCAGATACCTTATACTCGTAAATTAGTGTCCATAATAATAATACATATTGTGTATTATGTGCGGTTAAATGCGTATAACGAGTCATACACGACGAGGAGCGCTCGATGTCAACCCCTAATATTATCGTGTGTTGTATTTTAGTCTCCGTCTGGTAATATACATGCTTTTATGTGCGAGTATAGACGTATAACCCCCCCTCCCCTTTGTGTATTTTGCTTTAATAATTACCTATGGGTTTTTCCGTTTTTTAAAATATAGTAAATAAAATAATTTCAAATATAAATAACTTTATGTCTCAATATGGCTTGTACTTAAATATTAATTATGTATAAAAAAACAACTTGTAATAGTAAAAAAAATTAAATGTAATTATGAAATCATCAATACATAATATTATAGACTATAGAGTGTTAAATTATAAGTCAAAAACTATCAGACGTATTAGTATAACATATAATAATATATATATAATGTATATACTTTATTTATACAAAAATTACGCACGATAATAGTTTATGACATTATTTTTATTATAACATATTATTATATTTTATCATAGGTTCACTCCACTCGGTTATTACTAATTAGGAGTAATACAATGTGTGAGCACACTTCTATTTAATTTTTTTCTAGGTTTTTTATTTTTGGTGGGCCTTTTTTCCTTGGTGTGTTTATGTTTATGTGCTATTTTTCTTCATTTTTTTTTCTGGGCTTTTTTTCTGTGGTCTTTTCCCGCGATTCATGCCGCTGTAATATAAATGTAATACCTTTTGCACTGCATTATTTCGGTTTAAAATTTGAATGTTTAGGTTTCTTAGTGTATTTTTCGGAATTTATAATGCATTTTAAATATTTTTTAGTACATAAAATTCACACACAAAATTATGATATTATTTATAATAACATATTTATACAGACTGTAGTTGTTTTTTCTATGTCTACTCACTCACTCATTCTTTTTCACTCCGCTCGATACGTGCTGTCCCAATAATAATAACAACTATACTTATAGTAATAGGTTTACCTACGGACGGCGCTGTTATATATTCTTCCTCTTCTATAGGTTTCTGTTCTTTTCGCTTTTTTGACAGATAATAATCGTTTGCGTAGACAATAATAATAATAGTTTATAATAGTATATTACCGACATTCTCTCGACGATAGTATTATAATAGTGTCGGTTGCGGCAGCGGGACAATAATTTCCGCTTACGCTCCGAAAAATCCTTTTAAGTACGGCATGAGAAAATACACCACTCGTCTCCGATTGACTTCCACCGTTATATCATGTACGTTCGCGGCGGCGGGCAAAAGGACGAGCGGATATGATATTCGTTCGGCGGCGCCATCGAGTCGGTTTGTGTTGCCAACACCGATTAATCTGCTCCGCTCGGCCACCCCTCTCGTTTCATCTAACCGTCCCCAGTTTTATTATTGTTGCCGCTTTTCTGTGCGCACATACACACACACACACACACACACATACGCATACGTAGTTTTCACCGAGAGATATATTTTAGTTTTTATTTTTTTCCCGCCCGCCTGCTCGCTATCGTCCCTACCCATTTATACTCTCGCTCGCATCCCCGCAGCCCTCCGAAGCTCGACCCCTATATAGACGTACATAACTGGGCCGCCGTTAGCGTTTCCCTCGCGGGCGCCCGAAAGACTAGACGAAGTCCTGCCGAGTGGCGTCGTCGTCGGCCGCAGCAGTGAGTCGTCTTCTCGACAGTGTATATCTTTATAAAAGAAAATTTTTACGGTTCGACCGTTATACCCTCGACCCGCCCACCCACCGACCTACAAACAGACGACATTTATTATCATTCGCCGGAATCGATGTGCAAAACCATTATATTATCATGTGTACGCGGGTGTTGTATTCGCCTAGTGTGGGGTCCATCGTGCCAAGAGTGCAGGCGAACGTCTCTCGAACACTGTACGTCACCCACACGGCCATCCCCCTTCAAACAGTCGAGGATGCCACCCCACCGGCACTCTTCGTCACCGACACTCGTCAATCGCCCATTTAAAGGCGTAAGACAGCATGTACCTCTACAAACTAAACACTCGTAAGCGATTGGCAATTCGCGTGACGTGATTTGTAAGTCACATAATACATCGGTTTTATCATTGCTGTTTATCGTTTGTCCCTAAGAAAATAAATGAGGGAGATTATTTTAAAAACATTTTATTCAGGAGTTTTTGGAAGTATTTTTTTCAAATGGTATTAAAACATAACGAAACAACGTTTTATTTAAGAAAAAAAAGTCGAAATTATGGGTGCATTTGTGATAATAATATTATACAAATGGAAATTCGATCAAATGCGATCTGGTGATTTTAATACATATTATTATTACATTATTTTAATTTATATTATTGAAACTTTGACGATGCTCAATAATTCAAAGAAACTGACATTTGCTAAACAAATAAAATGCATAAGTAATGTGAGTCGCAATATGAAACGTTTAAAAAGATACTGTAACATAGAAAAAAGTAATCCATTAGTAAACCACCATACATTAAGACGGTATTGTGCAAATCCGGAATCATCCGTACCTATGGAAAAATAATCAAACCGAATATGTGCGAGAAACAAGCCGAAACAAAACCTCGTACCTCTATTATAATATAACAGTTTATAACAATATAATAGTACGTATTATCTATATAATATGACACGTGTATATCGCGCACGACGAGTATAGGTACAATGTAATATTTTGCACTCAATTTGCATTTTTTCGCAAAATCCATGCAGAAAACACTGAATACCAAAAACAAATTAATAAGAGGACTACGCACTGTACTCGTGGTACTATGCGGCGCCAGACTGAGCTTTTGTGGCTTGCTCGTTAACAACGGCATAGCGTGTGATTACGTGGCAACAAATAACGTAATACTCACATCGAAGTAATCCCATATCATTAATAGCGACGTAATACAATAGTATAATAAATTATTATTAAAGCGGTGGAGTTAATAATATATACCTTTATCATTTCAAATGCGGTATGCGACTATACATACGACGTCGATCCGATCAAACCGTGTGTGGACGATATTTTTAAAATCAATTCTCACAGTATATTACGCGGCTACCGCGTGGCAGAGAGACGGAGTGAGGAGCTCTCTCTGTTCACACTCGCGTACCGATATGTATAAAATATTAATAATGTATGAGTTTCCGGGCGCGCATGGCTCACTCGCGAGTCCGTGGGAATACATCCAAACGTAATATAATATTATTGCGTATGACTGTGTAGGAGTGATGACTGCAGCAAGGATGCAACTCGTAGAGAGAGTACTGTTCCTTTGTAATCGTAGCAGGTAGTTATAATAATATCATGATAGTAACTAGGTAGGTAAATACTTAAATTCGATTACATTTTAATTTATGAAGTCTCCCCACTCATATGTTCGCCTATTTTTGTGTGAGGTAGGATTTAAATTTTAACGCCGTAGCCTTTGTTCACATAAAAAAAAATGTCGCACCCGAAAACTCGTAATAATCGAGGTTTAGACACGTATTCGTGGTCGCACTCGTGTGAGTTCACACGGTCTGTAACACGATATTACTGTGTGCGAGTTTTTCATTGAAAAGCTACTAAACATCACGAGGCATCATATCATAAAACATTCGATTTGAATTAAAGTATTACGAAACTACGATAAACGGGGAAATGATTACCAACTACGTATTACGTTTTTTTGTTCACGCTAATACCTACGCGTATGACGCGGACGCGTATCTCTAATCATGATGTGACGATAATAATAACAAAAAAATAATATTGTTATTATTATCATTATATAATACGTGTCACGCGTGTATGTATTTAGCATTAACATCATAGAAGCTGAGGAATAAAATAACAACGAGAGTTTATAGGGTTCTCGATTTCCCGTCGACGCTTTCAAACTTAAAAAATTTAGTTAACATAAAAAGTTTTTGTTATCATATGAAAATAAAAAATAAGTGCCCAACCCGACCAACATTTTACAATATGAGTGATAATCAAAATATAATTTTTTTAAATAAAATTACCACTGTAATTCCGCGGTACTTATTGGCTTTTTTAATCCTATCTAAGGCTACGGCTACATTGGAATCGTTTCCGATCCGATCCGATAATCCGACTAGTCGGAAGAAAAACAAACTATGTATAATTTCGGTAGTGGCTATATTTATCGTAAGGGTCTAAACTGATTTATAGTTTATAATGTACACGGAGTTATTCATCAGGTGACAAGCATGCGTTCACCCTTACCCTTTGCTTAAAATAACGCATATAATATTCAAAATATGGGTTTTTACATTTTTAAGTAGATGGGGATACGCTTCCCTAACTCTTGTGTAGCCTTCTCCCCCTAAAAAAACTAATCATTTTACACCACATTGGAATATTTGAAAATTTTCAGTTTTATCCCCCTAAATCTCAAACACTATTTGTGATTTTATAGAGGATACTCTTCAAATCTAAGAATACTTAGATGGGTATACTTAATTTTATTTATTTTTTCTAAGAATACCTACTTAATAATTTCAAAAATTAGATTTTGAATGTATGTTTTATTTTTAGGGCCTCACTCACAACTATGGGCTATAATATGAGTATCTCATATATTTCGTTGATATATATTTCTTGTTTTCAAATAATAAACTTTTTCCCCCCCTGTAAATTGTGTTATGCAGAATATTATTTTGAAAATGTTAGCGTGTCTAAATTTAATTTAGAACGAGTAGTTTCTGAGTAATAAAATAATATGTGTACCAACTAAAGATAATAGTTCTTAACAATGGTTTTATATAAAATATAAAATACATTTACCTAATAGTTTAGTATTAGTACTTATTATACTTGGACAGA